TGGACTTTGGCAGGTCTCAGGGGTCAAATTTGTTAGAAGAGGTGGTCAATGAAGCAGTAATCAAAAAAAGTAGGAAAAAAGTGTGGAAGAGCGTGAAATAAGACCCTACGAAATTTAAGGCATGTGGACGAGTTTCGCAGACCTTTGCTGAGTTCTCCAATACACGTCGCCGCCTCGGAACTCCAACTTAGCGTTTATCAATGCCAGCAAGCACTGACAACTGTTAACCAGTCGGGGTGGGATTAACAGGGAAGGAGGCGTCAGCTCAGCCTTGTTGACTCCGCCCTCGTCAATCAATACATTTCGAACCGCAAAAGTGGGACATCCGTTATGTTTGCATACTCCGCGTTCGTTTTCATTGGAGGGTTTCTTCACTTTGGTTGATCGCGGACGCTGCCTTTAAAGGACTTTGCATAAACTATACATACTCTACGCTACAGCTGAAACAGAGCTAAACAAGGTGGTCCAATTGCCCATTCTGAGCTATTTGATTTTACACCATTTGGCATTCCCAGTAACCCTCAACAATAATAAACCACACCTATATGGTTCGTGGATGGTGCCCCACATCATGCAACTAAGCGTTTTCCAAAAGCTCACGATGTCCTGAGCAATCTCCAATGTTAGAAGAAACACTCCAGTTTCCAATTAATATGTTACTACACAGTGAGAAGTCATACGGCGCAGACTCAAGACAGTTGGAGTTGACGAGATTTCTAACGATCATCTGCTATCTCCTACCAGTGCTGTGTCAAGTAAGCTGGTGAGGAATGCTGAACGCTTTCTGGACACTCTTCAAGTACCACTAGTAGAGAGACGGGAAAGAGAGAGAGAGAGAAGAGGCAGGAGAGTGTGCCCTGTGGTGTCGTGTGACTTGTGTGTGTGTATCTACACTGCTACAGAATGTTGCGCTCCAACCCATATGTTGCTGTATTAGAATTTGCGCAACCAGCAGAAAAAACCCAGAGGAATTCGAGTCGGGCTTCCCGAAACATACCGAAGTAATGATAAAGATTGTTTGATTCAAAGGGATATTCAGCGTTGGGAATTCGTTGGGGATTCTCGAAACAGGTGCGAGTTTACTTAATTGAACGTTGGTAAATTTGTTACAACGCAGCTGTTTGCAAAAATAAGAACAGTTTTGAAAGAAGAGGGTTTCCTCTTATCAAGAATCAAAAATCCTTCTGAAGTCTCCGGGGCTTACGAGATGATTGCATTGGGGATCTACTGGGTGGATTTTTGAAGCTGTGCGAAAACCCATTTCCTATGTACCACTTCAAATGGGCGTATTTAATTACACAAGAATGCATTTAACACTGTTCCCACTGTAGAAAAGACGTGGCCAGTGGCTGGCTCAGTGCCCATTAGCACTAACTCTGGGTGTGCCATGCACTAGGCTCCCACGCAGGTGTGATGGCGCTTCTTCTGCACTGCGCCACATAATGATAATTCCACCCATAAATCTTACAAAATCCCGTCTTATACAACGTTTTCGAGAACGCCTCCAAGAAGGAATTGTGGTAATCACTAGTGCCAATTCGCATGCCAACACCAAGAACTAAATTGAAAGAATAAGTTTTTTCTTCATTTTTCGAAAAGTGGTCACTCTGACAATTCCACAAAATGATAGTTACCAAACAAATCGACTCACTGTACAACAAGTATACTATGAAGTGAATACATTGTTCACTTATCTGTTGGAGCCTATTCCTCCGAATAAATGGAGAAGTGCTACTTGACTACTAAGCTCACGGACATTGTGGGATCATGCGTTGTTCGCATGGATCTTACGCACCATGAAGCCTCACACATTCTCAATTGGGTTCAAATCTGGGCTATTTGCTGGCCAGGGCGGAAGAGCGATTTGAGATGACGACTGAACCACGACTGGCATGAACTGGATCATTATCTTGCACAAAAACGAGGTTTTGTTGCCGATTCCTTCGCAAAAAATGAGAGGAGAATTTGTCGCATGACGTTTGGATAATCGGAAGACTTCATTTTCTTTGGAAAAAAACAGCTTTAGACGTCCCGTTGATGTGAGCGGCTAAAACCATAACACCACCTCCTCTGAAGTTCCGCCTTCTCTTTCCTATGATCGTGCCAGTAGGATCGATTTCCATCTGGACTGTGGCAGTTGAATTTTTTCCTCATCAGAAAACACGACTGGAGAAAAAAACGTGCTTTCCTCATCCTCTTCCGGTGAATGAACCCGCGTTTTTCCAAGACAAGCCGAACAGTTTCCTTCGAGACGCTAAGCTTCAAAGCTGACTTTATTTCCTGGCACGACATTGGAGAATTTGGTGCTTTTCTTGAAATATGGCGTTTATCCTGATCACAGAGCAGTAGAGGACGCTCAGAGCTCTTCTCAATTCCATATACTGCAGGTTGCTTGACAAAATTGTTGATCACATGCCAAGTGCGGCCCAAATCCCATGCGATTTGACGGTTCGACAGCCCTTGAGTCTTCATTGCGACTATCGGTCCTTTTCGAAGTCCGATAATGAATGCCCTCCTGCCATAGCCTAGAAGAGGCAAAGAGACACAATGATGAGACAGTTTTGCACAACAAAAATGAGACACAGTAACAAGACCTGAGGTAGAACTATCATTTTGTGAAATTGTCGGAGTGGTCACTTTTCAAAGAAATGAAGGAAAAAAAAACTTATTCTTTCAATTCAGTTTTTGGTGTTGGCATGTGAGTGGCATTGACCACATTTTCTATTTGGGGACATTCTTGAGAACGTCATTCAAGAAGAGATTCAGTAAGATTATGGGTGGAACTATCATTATGTGGCGCAGCATACGTGACAGCTGCCCACACAAGCAGAGGTGTTAGTGTTCAAAAAGATCCATGACCTATCCACAGACTTGTTTAAGTTGTTCTGTTAAATTAACAAAATAGCTTCTTTATTGTTTGGAAGGTATATTTAGCTACGTATTCGGTCAACACGAGCACAGTTCCCAGTGTGGAGTCGCAATTGACCGTTGAGGTGGATGGGGCGGGGGGTCCTAATGAGAGAGGCACCCAACAACAATCAGCGTAAAAATGTCAATAGTACTACAAAAAATCAAAACGATTAATTAACCACGAAAAATCATGAAGTCTACAAAAGTGGGCGGAGTTTGACCTTAAGTGAATCGGAAAATCCTTTCAAGTTGAATGTTTACTGTAAAAGTCAATATTATAGCATACTCTTTCTGTTATAAGCCGACATATGTCAAATGACTTCAGCTCGAGACTGGTGCAAAAAACAGAGAACCATCATGGGCCATCCCAGCACACAACGTTTTTTTGGGCCATCCCAGCACACAACTTTTTTTAAGTTCAAAATAAAGGTCAAAATGCAGCTCAGTTTCGGAAATTATTTGGTGTTCAAGGAGGCAATGCCGTGAACGAAAAGCAGTGCGTGAACATCTGATGAACAAAGGGCAAGCGTGTTTTCGGAAACTGTCAACGCTCCAGCAGGCCTTCCGCAGTTAATGATGGCTGGATCGAATTTTGCACGACAGACATCGTAGGAAAAAACCGCGACAAATTATTACTCTCTCGACGAGGTACATTAAGGGATGTTCATATCTATCGAATTCGACCATTCCATGTAGCTTCAGATAGGAGCTTTCACGTTTCGGTACCCTAGAAATTAAACCATAGCAGCTAGCTGGACCAAATGTCTATTGCGATTTCAATTTATTGGAAATTGTGATATAGTGGGCAGGCAACATAATAAATTGAAAAGATAGTGAAGGTAATCATTGAAACTAGATGCAAAAAATATGAAAAACTGGTAACGCGCTCTTGATGATCAACTGTGTGGTCATTGCCTGCTATGGTAAGGCGAAGACTGAAAAAAAAACTGGCGGGAAGAAAAGAATTAACGGGACAAACCCGATGTCGGATGATGGAGTGCCGCTGAAGGGCAGTCGTCTGATCCACGGGACTAGGAGTCCCGCCGGGTCTTTTCTCTTTATTCTCTATTTTTTTAAGCTTGAATGTTTACTCCCATGCTGCCGCTTGATTATATCGTCTTTCGACGGATTTATTACCCATTTATTTATTGCATTTTATATATTGCCCATTTATAGTAAATTGTGCATTGAGATAGAATAAATCTTCTGTTACTTCGTGTGGCCAAAGTCACTTATGAACGGTGGTACAGTTCAGTATCACTTTGCTGTAGACAACTTAAATCGATCCCTCTGAAGTGGTCAACGAGGGACGGAAATAAACTCTTTATAATAACTCATTTTGGAGCGACGTTACAGAAATTTCAAATGATACGGGAATCGGTCCGAGGATCGACATCGATTTTCAGCCTTAGCTTTTTTTCGTTTTGGAGACTGCCTGCCAAACTGCCTGCCGCGTTGCTATTCTGGTTATGTCTGGTTTGGAGGCCTTCTTCTTTTTCTTCTTCTCCCTAGCTGTTTCCTAAGTTATCTCTATTCAGTCATTAGGTTGTGCCACTTTATTTTATTTTAATACATTTTTCCTTTCCACTTCTTCTCTTAGTTAATATTGCCATGTTTCTCTTACCGCGTTCGCTATCAGTTTACTGACTGTGGCGCGTCCATTGTGCGCAAAATAATAAAAAATAAATAGAATAGCGTTAGTTCCACGTCGTCGCACGATCCGTGTTCTTGTTGGGCGTCGGCGTCGAACCTGTTCCGATCCACTGCATCTTTTTGCGGCGGCATTCACTTTAGTGAGGTCCTTCTTCATGAATTGCTCCATCTCTTATTTGGAGCTCCCCGTACTCGCTTGCACTTCATTACCAATTAATTAATTTCCACGCGTTAGGGTGGTCTTCAGGCCTCTTCATTACCTCGTACCCATGCCACCAGATCGCTGGTCTCGTGCCTTCACTGCATCGGAACCGTCTGTGTGACCGCCCTGACGTCCTCGTTCATGATTCTGTCGTGTCGAGCCGCAGCTCATCTCAACAACCTCATTGCAGCTGACTGAGCTGCTTTCCATGGTTTTTGCATATGGGCCAGCTGCCGTGAAGCACCACACGCCTTACACTGCCCTACACATCTTACTCTTAAATTTAATTTGTTCTGCCAAAGAGGTTGGTAGGTGGAAGACTTTATTATAAATGGCCTGACGTTTCAACAGGATCGTCGCCCTCAGAGGCCTAAACATAGCTCAAGGTTTGGATGTTGTATCCACTGGACCGCCAAACGCCTCGCCTCCCTAGCGTTTTTGGCGAAATCTTAGGAGAACTACCAAGAAAAGTCGAGTGTGAGGAACGAACTTACCAGTCTACCACCACATGAGCGGAACCGATCACCGACCATAAGTACCCCGATCTTCCGACCAGTTTAACTGTCGAGCTTTTCAAAAAAAAATGCCAAAAATTTCGTTTCCAGATCTTCAACTCCAAACACGAATATCGTATCGCTTGGGCAGGAATTGCCTGGCGCTCACGCCACGGTCCCACGGCCCAAGCTTTGCGCTCCAATCGTTATGGAGAGCCCGTCCTTCACGTCGTCGTCGTCGTCATTCGTCCAAGACGCCGCCCCACTGCTGAGGGGAGGTCTGTGTTCAGGGTGTCCCCGAGATTTTTTCGCTTCACTGAGGAGCTACTTATGGGCCACTGCTTCACGAATGAGCACCAACTACCCGTAACGCTTGATCGCGAAAATTGTCTTTTCCTGCTGCGATCCAGGAACTGGAAGTCTCGACCCAATCAACGCTTCCGCCGTGGCAACCTACGATGTTCTCGGTGTCAAAGTTTTTTTACGCATATTTTGTTTTCAAATACAAAAATACTGTACACAATTTGAAAAGAGTAATATGCTTTCATAAGGAACAATTCGATCTGATTGTGTTTAGGGAAGAATCGATGGAATGCGCTGATGAATTTAGGGTGTTGACTTCACCTAGACATTGGCCTGGAGTGGAAAGTTTGGTAGGTTTCCTGTTTTTCGAGAGTGTACTAGGCTGGCGAGAAAATTTTGACATGTCTCATCATATTTTTGAGCGCAACCTTTATTGCTGGACAGAAACATTAAGTTCAAATGTGCACACCGCTGCTGATGACTGTCTTTAGCCAGCAATCCTTTCAGCTTATGGATGCCATCCCTCCAAAATCTAGCCTGGTGCGAGGCAAAGCACGACGGCAACTCGATTTTAATCTGGGTAGGGTATCCAAGCTCCTTCCATCCAGCTAAAGAGTTAGGCCGAATAATGTAAGTAATTGAGAGGAGCAATGTCTGAGTTGTACGGATACAAGGCAGAACTGTCCATCCATATTCCATCAGCTACAAACCGACATTTTTTGCACTGTGCGCTCTGATATTGTCATGCTTAGGTAGACTTCGCGGACATACCCTCCCCGTCGATTCACAGTTCGCTTCAGATCTAGCAGATGCTGGTGTAGAGATCAGAACTAATAGCGGCCGCCTCCCGCATCATCGTTAGTGTATGGGCGCGTGTACAGCCCACCAAAGACAGCGTTTATTTCTCTGGATGAACCTTTGGCGGAGGGCTGTGTCAGGCTCTCCCCGTAGACCTTACCACTATGCTTTCCTATGTATGCTCTTGGAATGAATCCGCCTCTCCTCGCCCGTGATAACGTGGTCAAACAACTTATTTTCTTTCTGCGAAGTCAGCAGTGTAAAAAAAGCATCCCATCGGCGATCAAGATCGGCATTCCATATAATAGATGTTGACCCAGACTTTTCATCATCCTCAGCTGCTGCTGCAGCCTAACTTTTACAGTGGACAGCGAATTCCAAAGCTGCTCGCCACATGGCTTGTGGATCGGAAGGGTGCAATTTCAGCACATTCCGCGGTTGCTTCGTGTTTTTTTCAAATGAATGTCCTGACATGTTTTCACTTCAAGTCTGCAGTCCCCTTAGGATGGACAGCCCTTTGAGCCTTGACGCCGCCGGTAGACCATCTCATAACTAGAGAAGTGTTTCCTAGACAGTTTCCTTACTTCGGCTTGAGTAGCTGTCATGCTCTATCCGGAGTAGAAGAAGAAAATCATAGTGGCACATGCACTGACCTTGACAAAATCATGGGAAAATGAAAAAAGCATTAATGAGCTAGGAGCACTGCCTTGCGAAACATTCTACCATATATTATCGGCCATGTCCGTGTGTGTGCGTCTGTCTGTTTGTCACGAAATTCATAGCGCCAGTCCCTTTAGCAGTGAGACCTCGGTTCCAAGAAGTGATGTAAGGAGTGTGACGGGAACACTGTTGGTGGGTGATAGAAAGTGGTACCAGTTGATAAGATCCGACAAGAGTCGTTAGAAGGGGGAGGTCACCATATTCATAACGCTGCGGGTGACGGCATCAGCTAGCTCTTGATTCTAAGATATGATATAGGATATGGGCCAAGAACATCATAAGATTCGATAAGGGGCGTAAAAAAGGAGAGGTCATCGTATTCACAGCGCAGGTCACAGCATCAGCGAGGCGTACGTTTCAGCAAGTGATATAGAGGGAGAGATGTGGCCATCAACCGTGGGTGACTGGCAGCGATAAACTACTGCCAGGGGCTGATAAGGGATGTTGCAGTTGTCGTCGCTGTTCAAGGTGGCTCACGCTACCAATCATAAAGATTTAGTGATGAAGACATTGGCAGGTGATCTTATCAGTCGACAAAAATGCATAAGATACCATCTGCGCTGCATTTTTAACACTTTTCACCGCAATAATGCCGTGTATTAGAGGCTCAGTGTGTGGCTCTATCCTTTGATGGCAACAGAATCAAGGTCATCCACTGGAGTATTTGCTTTTAGAGGGGTATGTGGTGCGGCCAAAACGGGAAAATCGTGAAATTCATCAGTCAGCGAAATTTTCGCAAATATGCCTGCTATGTCATGTGTTAGGAGGTGCCGGTCGCAACTGAAACAAAAAAGGGAAGGATCCCTGAGCTATTTTCAATCAGTTCTCCTACTCGAAAAATACCTGCCACCATTTGGCACACTTAGCGCATTCTACTTTGCCCAAGGGAAGAGTGCCCTCCCAAGCCGGGCC